TTCCAAGAAGAGGCAAGATAATTATGGGGAGAAGTCACAAAGACAGTACGACTATATAGCACATGGAAGGGAAATGATTTTAAGTAATCAGCCTTAATTTAAATGATTTAAGTAACCAGTAATTAAAATAATTAATTCTATCCCGTCCTGGGATGGAGCTCAGTGCCCCAGGGTACTGTGTACTTTTTCTCATCCTCATATCGGACATAGACAAGGACACAATCTATAGTACTGTATCATCGTTTGTAGATGACACTAGGATTTTTATGAGAGTTGGCAACATAGAGGACACGGCAAACCTCCAATCAGGTCTTTCTATGGGCTACAGAAAATAATATGGTATTTAATGAGGATAAGTTCCAGCTCATGCGCTACGGAAAAATGAAAACATAAAAGCAGAAACCACGTACAAAACGCAGTCAAATCATAACATAGAACGAAAAAGCAATGTAAAGAATTTGGGTGTACTCGTGTCGGAAGGCCTAACCTTTAACACAATAAAGTAGCCGTCACAACTGCAAGAAAAATGACAGGTTGGATAACAAGAACCTTTCACACTAGAGATGCTATACCGATGATGATACTCTTCAAGATGCTAGTGCTCTCTAGAGTGGAGTACTGCTGCACAATGACAGCTTCTTTTAAAGCTGGAGAAATTACTGACCTGGAGAGCGTACAGAGATCCTTTACTGCTAGAATCCACTCAGTAAAACATCTGAACTATTGCGACCGACTAAAATGGCTAAATCTGTAGTAGAGGGGCTGGTCCCAAACCTGCACACAGAAATGGCACCACATGAGACCAGAAGACATGGCAGGATGTGCAGAATACCCCCGTTGAATTGCAGAGGTGCAACAGGTACTCTGAGAGAGAACTATCAACATCAGAGGCCCGAGACTGTTCAACACGCTTCCACTACACATAAGGGGCATAACTGGCCGGCCCCTCACAGTGTTTAAGAGAACTAGATAAGCACCTCCAAAGGATACCTGATCAACCCGGCTATGACTCGTACGTCAGGCTGCGAGCAGCCGCGTCCAACAGCCTGGTTGACCAGTCCAGCAACCAGGAGGCCTGGTCGGGGACCTGGCCGCGGGGACGCTAAGCCCCGGAAGGTAACCACTAGGTAAGGTAATCGGAAGGTAATCGCTAGGTAAAGGTAAGGGGGATAGGGCGCTGGGGAGGAATGATACCCAACCACTTGGATACTCTGGAATCGAACGCCGACCTGCAAGAAGCGACGCCGTCACTATATCCCCTATAATCCATGTTGTTGTTTCCAAGAAAAAATATTTGATTTTTGCCGACATGAAGGACGAGTCCTGAAGGTCCCCTCAGCTGACTGCTCGTCCTAGAATACCGACTGGCGCCGAGCACCCGTACTAGTCTTTCGTAAACCGTAAACAGTCTTTCGTAAACCGTAAACAGTCTTTCGTAATTTCATTGTAGCAGGTAACATTCGACGTGTGCGCAGTCAACTGTCAGTACTCGCCGGTGGTACTACGGTCTCTGGCAGCGACAACAGCGCGAGAAACTGCGCCTCAGGACGCCGGGTCCGACAAGCGCACTGTGTCAAGGCCAACGAATACGAGCCATTGGGTAGAGCGGTGATGAGAGAGGTGTCTCAAGGCCCTTCATCCTCACTGTGTGTGCTCCTCCTCGTGGGGAAAGTGACGATATTTTATACAACAACGTTGGGATGAACAGGTAAACGATTATATTTCTAGGCTAGCTTTAGTTTGCCTGAGTTCTCGTCCCACTGCCTGTGTCCACCCCTCTCCGGTCTCACCACCTGTGTCCCCTTGTTCTGGTCCCACCACCTGTGTCCCCTTGTTCTGGTCTCACCACCTGTGTCCCCTTGTTCTGGTCCCACCACCTGTGTCCCCTTGTTCTGGTCCCACCACCTGTGTCCCCCTTGTTCTGGTCTCACCACCTGTGTCCCCTTGTTCTGGTCCCACCACCTGTGTCCCCCTTGTTCTGGTCCCACCACCTGTGTCCCCCTTGTTCTGGTCCCACCACCTGTGTCCCCCTTGTTCCGGTATCACCACCTGTGTCCCCTTGTTCTGGTCCCACCACCTGTGTCCCCCTTGTTCTGGTCCCACCACCTGTGTCCCCCTTGTTCTGGTCCCACCACCTGTGTCCCCTTGTTCTGGTCTCACCACCTGTGTCCCCCTTGTTCTGGTCCCACCACCTGTGTCCCCCTTGTTCTGGTCTCACCACCTGTGTCCCCCTTGTTCTGGTCCCACCATCTGTGTCCCCTTGTTCTGGTCCCACCACCTGTGTCCCCCTTGTTCTGGTCCCACCACCTGTGTCCCCCTTGTTCTGGTCCCACCACCTGTGTCCCCCTTGTTCTGGTCCCACCACCTGTGTCCCCTTGTTCTGGTCCCACCACCTGTGTCCCCTTGTTCTGGTCCCACCACCTGTGTCCCCTTGTTCTGGTCCCACCACCTGTGTCCCCCTTGTTCTGGTCTCACCACCTGTGTCCCCCTTGTTCTGGTCCCACCACCTGTGTCCCCTTGTTCTGGTCTCACCACCTGTGTCCCCCTTGTTCTGGTCTCACCACCTGTGTCCCCCTTGTTCTGGTCCCACCACCTGTGTCCCCTTGTTCTGGTCCCACCACCTGTGTCTCCCTTGTTCTGGTCCCACCACCTGTGTCCCCCTTGTTCTGGTCCAACCACCTGTGGTCATCTAGGTATACTCACCTAATTGATAGGTTGGCAAGGTTGAGCATATGTGCCACCAGCAATAATTCTAATGTAGTGTGGCGTTTCTCTTCATGGATTTATTCCATGGATTCCGAATGGGAATATTTCCATTTCTGGAAATGGAAATTTTGTATCATATTAATATTTCAAACTGTTGATCTAACTGTTTCGCAACTTACTCATCAAGCTCCTCACACTCATTTCCGACTCTGAGACTGAATAAGTTCTTTCTGGCATCTAACTCATTCTAGTTTCCAATAGTATCCCTCTGTTGTACTGTTCCTCATTTTAAGCAACGATTCTTTGTCTACTGTGTCAAATTTCCCTCGGTATCATGTATGTCGCTATCATGTCGGTCTTCTCCTCCTTTCCTCTAGTGTAGTGAGGTGCGGTTCCCTCGGTCTATCATCGTAGCTCAGTCCCCTGAGCTCAGGAATGAACGCTGTTACGTATTTCTTATATTTTCTAGTTTAGTCTTTATATTTTTCAGGTTAGGGTTCCATGCTGGTGCAGCATACCCAATAGCAGGTGTGACAGATGATGTATACAGCGCTCGGAAGGGACCGTTGTCCAAGTTGGTGAAGGATAACGAGACGTTTGCCAGTATGACGTATGCTGCCCTCGTTATCCTGCTGGTGTGTGCCTCTGGTGTTGGACCCCCAGTTATGTCCACTCTTGAGTCTCTCTCTTGTTCAGAAGTTGGAAGTTGCCTTCCCTTCATCCTGTGCTGTATGTGAGGTCTTCTTGCTCCAATTCCTATCTTTATAATCTTGCATTTTTCAGGGTTAAAGTCTAATAACCATTTCTGAGCCTATCTCTAGAGATCGTTCCGTTCAGTTTAAAATGAATTGCAGTCCTCAGCTCAGCTTCGTCTCATTAACAACAAACATGGATTGGAATGAGCTTAAAACACCTTTGAGGCACTCCACTCATTACCTAAGAACATAACAATAAAGGTAACTGCAGAAGGCCTATTGGCCCATACGAGGCAGCTCCTATTTATATCCACCCAATAAATAGGAGTGGATATATCCCACCCAATACCCTACCTGTCTCCAGAAGGATAGTTCTCCTCGTACTATGACTCTCTGCCTTCTTCCTGGTGGGTACTCCTTCACCCACTGTGGTATTTCTCCAGATACACAAGCCTGGTTTTCAAGTTGGCAGGAGTTGGCAGGCAGGAGTTGCCTGTAAGGAACAGTGTCAAATGCCTTCAGTCATCCAGGAAAATGCGTCGCCATTGTTCTCGCCACATCACCTGAGCCCCTTACTTCTGGTTCCACCACCTGTGTACCGCGGTCCCGGACCCACCACATGTATATTGCATCTGACCAATCGTAGTGAAGGAAACATCTTTTCCGCTCTTCCCATCACCAATCACGTTTGCCAGTTCAGCTGGAAAACTGGCCAATCACAGGCATTTCAACCCAGCGGAGGTTTACAGCGAGTAATATAGTTTCACTTGTGTATACCAACGAGGTTTACTCTGCATGCAACCCCAGCTTCTAGGTGAATATACACAGGTTTACTTTACCTTTAAACAAGATTTAGGAATGAAGTATACTCGCTGCTTGTGTGGTATTCTTCTTGTAGAGGCCCGAGATGACTCTCCTGTGGTTTACCTGTGGTTTACCTGTGTGGGAGGGTTAGGGTGGTGATGTGTGTGTGTGTTGGTGTCTGGTCAGTTACCAGATATCATATGTAAGGCTCTCCTAGTTCTTATTTAATATTTTATCAGTGTGTGTGTGTGTGTGTGTGTGTGTGTGTGTGTGTGTGTGTGTGTACTCACCTATTTGTGCTTGCGGGAGTTGAGCTCTGGCTCTTTGGTCCCGCCTCTCAACTGTCAATCAACCGGTGTACAGATTCCTGAGCCTACTGGGCTCTATCATATCTACATTTGAAAATGTGTATGGAGTCAGCCTCCACCACATCACTGCCTAATGCATTCCATCTGTTAACTACTCTGACACTGAAAAAGTTCCTTCTAACGTCTCTGTGGCTCATGTGGGTACTCAGTTTCCGCCTGTGTCCCCTTGTTCGCGTCCCACCAGTGTTGAATAGTTTGTCCTTGTTTACCCGGTCGATTCCCCTGAGGATTTTGTAGGTTGTGATCATGTCTCCCCCCCTTACTCTTCTGTCTTGTGTGTGTGTGTGTGTGTGTGTGTGTGTGTGTGTGTGTGTGTGTGTGTGTGTGTGTGTGTGTGTGCGCGTGCGTGTGTAATGTTGAAAATACACGGTGCAAAATACGTTGAAGAAACATAATAACTAATATGTGACTCTTTTGGACTCTACAGAGCGGAGTGGTTCCGGAGGACGACGATGGCGGCATCAAGAAGAAACTGTGAGTATAGAGGCCTCTTCTTCCCTCTATTGTTTCCTCTATATAGTCACCTCTGTGTAACTTAAGACAAGAGTATACGACTATACATCAGCCTATTATAATTAACTGTATTTCCTACAACACCGTATTGCATAAGCTCAGAGGTAAGGTTTCTTATTGCCGTTTGGTAATACACATTTCTATAAAAGGGGAGGAGGGGTGGGGGGGAGGGGGGTTCTGGGGGGAGGATAGGGCTATGGAAGTGGTCAATTCTACACACACACTCGTCTTGGTGTGTTACAATGGACAACGACTTTGTAAAACACAAACATTGAAGAATAACATAGCCTTCTACACCTCCCATGAAGACCTACACTCACCTGTGTTCTGTTGAGAGAGAGAGAGAGAGAGAGAGAGAGAGAGAGAGAGAGAGAGAGAGAGAGAGAGAGAGAGAGAGAGAGAGAGAGAGAGAGAGAGAGAGAGAGAGAGCCAGCCGGCGGAGATAGGGAAACCAGTCAAGGATTTCCTATCTTGGAGCATCTTGCTAACACTATGAGTTGTATTATGGTGGGAAATGGAAACAAACTCTTTATTAGTATTCAAGTACGTTTATCGAGACAATAAAATACGTCTAAGAAAAAGGATAGGGTCACTTAGGCTATTTTCATCATCCTTTTTTCGTATTAAACGCCGCAGGAAGCAGAATATAATCGCCAGAAGTGAGGTTCTAGTACTGACGTCTAAGAAAACTATTTAATTAGTTAGGACAAAAGTATACAAGGACCCCGATCATATGTGACATTCTTCCAAGAAATAGCTTGAAATAAGTAGCTTTCTACGGCAATGGTAGTCTACTGTCGGCAAGACAAATGTTACAGATGAAATATCACTGATAACCGGGAACACTTTTATAGAAAGACTTGTATGTATGATCTGGGTGTAGTTCAGTTATCTATGGCTGAGGTTGGTGATTCTTGTGATTCATCATAAACAGTGGTCGACAATCGACTTGAGAATGGTCCAGGACGGACCGAAACGTCGTCGTCCCTTCACCTTCTAGTGTGTGGTTTGATCAACATACTTCAGCCACGTTATTGTGACTCATCGCCTGCAGTGGTCGTGGGGTTTGCTTGAGTTTAGACTGTTAGAAGACAGAGGTATGGAAGAGTATTTGGTGTAAGGAGCCAATAAGGATGTGTATTGGCATGGAAATACTTTGGGAGTCAATGGAATAAATTTAGGTAAAAAGAACAGGGTCGGATATGGTTTTAAACATAACACCCTTAAAGTGTATTACACAAGTTGTAGCAATATTATTCAGCACTTCATTATTTAAGTGCAACTGTATACACAAAAATATTATATATGAATTATTGCACTAACTGAAACGTGGATGAGTATAAATGACAAGGAACTATTAGCTGAATATAAAATTTCGCAAGAGAAATTACATCACACTGATAGAGACGAGGAGGAGAAATAGCAACGTATGTCAAGGTAAGTGTAAAATGTTGTGTAACAGAAGAGATCAAAACTGAACCCCACACAAACTATTTGTACAACATTGAATGAAAATAAGGATATCTAGTAGTATTAGACACTAATAATGGGATTTATATAAAGGCCACCAAACTTCAACAGAATAGAAGGAAGGCATTTACGAGAAAAAATAACCAGGACATTTAAATCTAACAATGCCTCGTAGAGGACTTAGCATATTATTCAGCCAACAGGAAAATTACTTTTTTTTGACAGTGTTAATTAACAAGGAATCAAAACTAATAACATCGAAATAGAAATAGAGAGAGCGAACTGGGGAATAACGCTAACGAGGAAATCAGATTTAGAGTAACGAGAAACAGGTTTAAGGTGACCTAAAATTGTGAAAAGTTGATTTTGAGCGATAGTTTGGGTTGAGGGATTACTTTGTTACTTATGGGATACTTTATCAGGACTGTAGGTAGGAAACAGTGCAACTCATCACTCGACCATTCCCCAGGATGCGACCCACAACAGTCGACTAACACCCAGGTACCTATTTAGTGCTAGGTGAACATGGGTAATGGGTGTAAGGAGGCCTGCCCGTTTCTCTCGCCCTTCCCGGGATTATTTGGATTGATTGGGTGGTTGGGTGTTCTGGGAACGACAAGAGACCTGACAATGGCTCACGATGTTGCTTCAAATTATTAATCATTTAAAAAGTAATATCATATATATTGATTAGATCGAATAACAATGATCCTATAAGACCCCAGAAGGATCTCAATAATAAAGCTAAATAACCGTATTGAACAAAAAGGTCATGTTAAGCATTTCGAAAGGTGCTTAAAGAATGTAAATAAGAGCTTAGTGAGCTCTTGTCTTACATATTTAATAAATGATTAGGCACTAGCACGTGCCAGAGTCGTGGAAAGTGGCTAACGTAGTGCCAATATTTAAGACAGGAGAAAGATCACTTGTAATGAATTACCGTCCAACTAGCTTAACTTATAATTGGGAAAATTGGCTGAATCGATAATCACCAAAGCCATTCGTTTACATTTTGAAAAACCGACAAATAAAAGCTTCAGAACATACTTTTACTAAATGCGATCATGTTTAAGGGTCCATCATGTTTAGTCGCGATGTAAAATAAATTATCAAGAATTTGTTTAACAACATTTCCTTTGTTTTTAAGTTGTTAAGGAAAGTTTGGTGAAAGAGAGGGAATACAGAGAACACACACAGCATACATAGACACGATAAAACACCAAAATTATTGAGATTATATCAAAGCTTTCAAAATGTACTCACTAAAAAGGAGACGAGAGAGATGTCAAACAATATACACGTGGAAAATACTGGAGGACCAAGTACCAAATGTACACAGTAAAATAACAACTTACTGGAGTGTACGATATGGAAGAAAATGCAGAATAAAACCAGTGAAGAGCAGGGGTGCCATAGGCACAATCAGAGAACACTATAAACATCAGAGGTCCGCGGTTGTTCAACGTCCTCCCAGCAAGCATAAGAAATATTGCCGGAACAACCGTGGACATCTTCAAGAGAAAACGAGATAGTTTTCTTCAATAAGTGCCGGACCAACCGGGCTGTGGTGGATATGTGGGCCTGCGGGCCACTGCAAGCAACAGCCTGCTGGACCAAGCTCTCACAAGTGGGAAAATGTTCTAAGTGGAGTGCCTCAAGGCTCTGTCCTGGGACCTCTGTTGTTTATAATATATATAAATGATTTAGATTCAGGTTTGAGTAGCAACATTTGCAAATTTGCCTTTGATACAAAAATCGGCAGGGAAATTAACACGGAAGAAGACTCACTATCACTTCAAGTTGATCTAAATAGGGTTTTGAAATGGTCGAAGGATTGGCAGATGCAGTTTAATGCTGATAAATGTAAAGTTTTGAGGCTAGGTAATGATGATAGAGTTACAAGATACGAGCTAGATGGTGTTGAGATTGCGAAGTCCGATTGCGAAAGGGATCTGGGAGTTATGATTAGTAAGAATTTAAAACAAAAGGATCAATGCATGAATGTTCGTAATAAGGCGAATAGGACACTGGGATTTATTAATCGAAGCGTTAGTAACAAGACACCTGGTGTGGTTCTTCAGCTATATCTAGCTCTGGTTAGGCCCTATTTAAATTATGCAGCTCAGTTTTGGTCGCCGTACTATAGAATGGATATAAATTCACTTGAACGTGTCCAGCGTAGGATGACTAAGTTAATTTCCCAAATTAGAAATCTTTCATATGAAGAAAGATTACCAAAGCTTAAGTTGCATTCACTGGAAAGGCGAAGAGTTAGGGGTGACATGATAGAGGTTTACAAGTGGATGAATGGACATAACAAAGGGGATATTAATAGGGGTATTAAAAGTATCAACACAAGACAGAACACGAAACAATGGGTATAAGTTTAGCTTTAGGAAAGACTTGGGTAAATACTGGTTCGATAACATGGTTGTTGATTTGTGGAACCAATTACCGCGTAACGTGGTGGAGGTGGGGTCCCTCGATTGTTTCAAGCGTGGGTTGGACATGTATATGAGTGGGATTGGATGGTTATAAATAGGAGATGCCTCGTATGGGCCAATAGGCCTTCTGGAGTTACCTTTGTTCTTATGTAAGTCAAGCCGGGCTTGGGGAGTAGAACTCCCAGAACTAAATCAAGCAGGTACAGGTAAGTGATATGTTTTAGTGATAAATATAGGAGCTGTCTCCTATTGACAAATGTTCCTTCTGTAGTTATCATTGTTCTTGTGTTCTGATGTACACATAAAGGGACCAAATCTTGTCTACACTTTCCAAAAAACAGGCAAACCCTTTTTACTGCGCAGGTGACGCGCGCAAGTGACGCTTGAGCGTAGGGTAGTGACGGGACGCCCGCCTGGCCTCAGGAAAATATTTCATCGTTTTGTGTATAACCTTTCCTACTTTCACACTGTAGTCCTTATGGCAGGTGCCATGGCTGGGACGGTGGTGTGTGTGGGGGGGGGGGGAGAGAGGAGGGGCCTCAGGGATGTGTCTGTGGGTGGTGACATCTGATGCAGGTCTTAATATACTTAAACTTGGTATCTTTGTACCGAGTGTATTTGTGCTCACACCAAATACACTCAACACACTCGCAATATGACGCTAATGGCATTGATGGGATCCGCTAAAAGTAGCGAGTACCCTGCCTGGGGAGCACGCACGGCTCTGTGTATATATCATATATAATTTGTTCACTGTTCCCATCTTCCTCAGTCTGCTCCTCTGTATGTCTTTGGCAGTGCCATGTACCTCCACCTCTGTCTGTCTGTCTGTCTGTCTGTCTGTCTGTCTGTCTGTCTGTCTGTCTGTCTGTCTGTCTGTCTGCTTCTCTCTCTCTCTGACACTTAAGCAGGAGAACTGCGTCACGGTTTATCTGTCTCCCGCTTGAGACCAGACAAGTGTTTCTGCGCCAGCCCTCAAGGACCAGGAGGATTTATGAGTGGTAATCAGGGACCGCTGATTGTCTCACTCTGACAGTTGTAAGTGCG